TCTTCACAGATGCTGCAAGACCTGCTGAGCGTTTCCAGCGATTTCTGTTTTTGTTCCTGAACTTCCATTTGCCTGCCACTTCAAAACACCACCCTGTTCCCTGGCCAACATTTCTGTCTCAGACATGCTGCAATGCTCCAGTGAAGCTTAGAGCAAGCTGGAAGAACAGCACTTCATTTTCTCCTTGGGGACCCTGCAGCCTATTGGACTCAATATCAAGTTCAATAACTTTAGGGCTTGAGCCCTCCCATGTCTTCATCCCTACCCCACATATCAGGCCTTGTTATCACATAGTTTGCTATTACACACAGCCCATTGTTAGCCACTAACAGTCTCCATTAATAGCTATCCATCTTCCTAGCCAGATTGTTATCCACTCCTTTGTTCAACTGCTTTTCGCTCTCTTTGGGCTCTATCTCACCTATAGTTTACTCTTTAACCCCTCCCCTCACCCATCTTCTGCATTAAACTGACATTTTCCTAGCTACCATCAGTACTGAGGAAGGGTCACTCAACCCGAAACGTTAACTCTAATTTCTTTCCACAGATGCTGCCAGACCTGCTGAGCTTTTCTGGCCAACTTCTGTTTTTATTTCTGATTCACAGCATCCACAGATCTTTCGGTTTTTATTTAAACTCCTCACCCTTTCTCAGATACTTTCAGGGATGTTGCAAATTAATTTTATCTTTGCTACTCGCTAATCTTTTTTTTCCAAACAATGTGCACTCAACAGTGAAATTACTAAGGTGTGATAATTACTCAGATCAAATGATTGATTTGCTGTTTGAGAAGTGTAAAAAAATCATAATTGCAGCCATTTCTTGTAACTATTTTATAGTCGTTAATTAAATAGAATTTTTATAGATCACACTTTTCAGCATGCATATCCCTATGATTTTGTCAGCAGTTTTCTTAATCTTATAGAACCTGTCTTTTGCTTGTGACTGCAAGTGATCTAAATCAGACCATAACGTACAGGCAGTTATAAGCTGGTCTGAGAACAGCATGAAGGCACTGGGCTATCTGGTATCACATTCTCTCCAGATCTGTGCTTTAGTTGGAAATGTGAAAACAGTAAATTGTGAAATACCTTTCAATGATGAAGCAATTTTCACATGATTAGCTAGTACATGCTGAGTAGTTTATTCATTCACTAATTGGAATAAAATTATTACCTCTATAACTGGTCACTGCTGTCCTGCAAATTTTTCAACACTCAACCTTCACCCCAGACATCAGTCTGCAGAACCCCATTCATTCCCCTCTAGGAATTTTGCATCCATGACAGGTATTTGTGGATGGATTCCAACAAAAGTTTGGTAAGGTATTCCAAGACACAGCATAATAGCAAGCTCATAACAATTACTTCAAAAATGAAGCCTTTTGATAATATAAATTGCAACGCATGCAACACACTACTGATCAGCTAAGCTCAAAATCCCAGTATGTCAATATTAATTATTGACATCCATCAGCCTTCAGCTGAACTCTGCCATGAAATGTGTCCTCCAATATAGGACTATGTCAAGAAAGAACAGTTCACCAACTCACGTTTTTGAGTCTCAGGTTTAACTGTTTGCAGTTTTCAGTCATAGTACATGCTGTAACCTTATTTTTTGCTTGTTTTTGACTTTTAAAAGAACCTTTAAAAGGGAATTCTTTTTATAATGGCTCATTAATAGCCCTCCACCTACAGATTCAGTCTGGACATCCTTTATGACAGGTTCCTCTAGGCATGCAGTTTGTAGGCTAAAGATGTCAAACTAGCCTCCACTTTAATCATTTTCATTTTCACATGCGAAGGAAGTTCCTATCTGGGTCTCAAGAAAAACTCCCAGGACACTCAGCAGTCCCTGAACCTTCCCTGAAGTTAAAATTCCCCTCCATTTCCTCAATTATCCATTTTCAAGCAAAAGTTTGGTTCCCAATTGTCACCACACCTAGCTGTGCTTCTTTTTAAAAAACACAGGGACATGAAGTAGAAATCTGGAGCAAAACCTTAGTTAATTCCTCATGCCCAGCTCTTGAATATTACCTTAGATGAAATCTAATGTTGAAGGTTCGTAGTTGAACTTGAAGCCTCCCTAATATATGGTCCCCTCTGAGGCACAGACTATCTTGACTTGGAACTGTATTGCCATTCCTTCAATCAAAATCCTGGAAAGTCCCAGAAGTCCTTCCCTACCATAAATGTGGGTGTTCCTATATCATATGGACTGCATCAGTTCAGAAAGGCACCTTACCACCACTTACATGACCATTCCCATACATACACCTATTCCTGAAACAGGCTCCATCCCCACTTCTAGCTCCAGATCTACACCCAACCCCAGCCCCCAGCCCCAAGCCCTGCCGAGTATTCACCATTTCCCCAGACCTCCCCCCCTCACTGAGGACGAATGGTCAACCCTTAGTAAAGGACTCACCTTCTTTCCCCTGTGCCCACACATCAAGGAATTCCATTCATGTCTGGACGTCAAACTTTTTTTCCGCCACCTCCTGTCTATTTCTTTGACCAGGAGTCTAACCCACCCTCTGCCAACCCCTTCTTCCACCTTTGACAAACCCCATCCCTCTGGACACCACCCCATGGCCTCCTACCCTCCCTCGACCACTTCATCTTCAACTGCCATCGCAACATCAATTGCCTGAATCTCTCCACCCCTCTCACTCACTCCAACCCCTCCCCCATGGAAGGTGCAGCCCTCTGCTCCAACTCCAACTTCACCATCAAACCTGCGGATTGGGGGGCAGGGGGTGGGGAGCGCAGTAGTGGTGTGATGTACTGACCTCTACATCGCCGAGGCCAGGCGCCAACTCTCTGACACCTCCTCCTACCGCCCTCTCGATTATGACCCCTCCTCTGATCACCAAACCACCAAGTCTCAGACCATCCAAACATTATCACCTCAGGAGACCTCCCACCCAAAGCCTCCAATCTCATCATTCCCCACCCCACACTTCCCATTTCTATCTCCTTCCCAAAATCCACAAACCCGACTGCCCCGGCCGACACATTGTCTCTGCCTGCTCCTGCCCCACTGAACCCATCTCCGCTTACATCAACTCTGTCTTCTCCCCCTGGTCCAGGAACTCCCCACCTACGTTCGGGACACTACCCATGCCCTCCACTTCCTCCAAGACTTCCAAATTCCTGGCCCCCAACACCTGAAAGCCCTCCGCTTCTTCCTCTCCCACAGTCCCCCTCCACCTACACCTTCATCCGCCTAACGGAACTTGTCCTTATCCTCAACAACTTTTCCTTTAACTCCTCCCACTTCCTACAAACTAAAGGTGTGGCCATGGGCACTTGCATGGGTCCGAGCTATACTTGCCTCTTTGTAGGATACATGGAACAGTCCCTTTTCCATTAATACACTGGGACCATCCCTCACCTCTTCCTCTATTATATTAATGACTGTATCAGCGCTGCCACATGCTCCCATGAGGAGCTTGAACAGTTCATCAACTTTACTAACACCTTTCACCCCAACCTCAAGTTCACCTGCACCTTCAATGATACCTCCCTCCCCCTCCTGGACCTCTCCGTTGCCATCTCTGTTAACCACCACAACACCGACATCTATTTCAAACCCACTGACTCCCATAGCTACCTTGACTACACCTCCTCTCACCCACCTTCCTGCACGAATGCGATCCCGTACTCTCAATTCTTCCACCTCCGCCACATCTGCTCCCAAGATGGGGCGTTCCACTCCCTAACATCCCAGATTCCTCCTATTTCAAGGACTGTAACTTCCCCCTCCGGTGATCAAAAATGCCGTCAACCGCATCTCTTGCATTTCCTGCACTTCTGCCCACAAAATCCCCTCCTCCCCAACAAAAAATAGGGACAGAGGGCCCCCGGTCCTCACATACCACCCCACCAACCTTCATACCCAACACATCATCCTCCGCCATTTCTGCCACGTACAATCTGACCCTACGACCAAGGAGATATTGCCCTCCCCATCCCTATCTGCCTTTTGAAGGGACTGCTCACTCCGTGACTCCCTCGTCCGCTTCACTCTCCCCACTAACCCCACCACATCTGGCACCTTTCCCTGCAACCGCAGGAAATGCTACACCCACCCCTACGCCTCCCCACTCACCTCCATTCAAGGTACAACACAGACTTTACAAATCCAAGAGGGGTGACCTGTACATCCTCCAACCTGGTCTACTGTATCCATTGGTCCCAATGTGGCCTCCTCTACATCGGTGAGACTGAGCGCAGACTCAGGGACTGTTTTGTGAAGCATCTGTAATAATCGACAACAACTTCTGGATGCTGACCATTTTAACAACCCCCTCCCACTCCCTAGGTGACATGCCCATCCTGGGCCTCCTCCAGTGTCACAATGACGCTATCCACAAACTGGAGGAACAATGCCTCATATTCCGCCTTGGGAGCCTACAACTTGATGGCCTGAACATAGAATTCACCAGTTTTAAAATCTACCCACCCCCGGCCGCATCCCATGTCCAACCCTACCTCTCATCCCCGCCTCCTTGACTTGACACAACCTGTCCATCTTCTTCCCCACCTTTCCACCCCACCTTTCCCACTGACCAATCCCTACTAGCCCCCACCTGCATCCACCTTTCACCATCCCACCTCCCCTCCCCCAGCCCCACCCCTCCTCTTCTCACCTCCTTGACCTGACACAACCCGTCCATCTTCTCTCCCACCAATCCGTCCCACCTTTCCCACTGACCAATCCCCACCACCCCCTACCTGCATCCACCTATCACCATCCCACCTACCTTCCCTCAGCCCTACCCCTCCTCCCTCTATTTATTTCTGAGCTCCCTTCCCCCTCCCCAGTTCTGAAGAAGGTTCCCAACCCGAAACGTCAACTTTCCTGCTCCTCTGATGCTGCCTGGCCTGCTGTGTTCCTCCAGCTCCACACTGTGTTGACTCTGACATCAGCATCTGTAGTTCTTGGTATCTTCGAGTGACTTTCCACCACCTTCTCGAGGACAATTAGTATGGAAAATAAAATTTTGCTAACTGGCAATGCCCACATTCAATGAACAAATTTTTAAGATAATGGCACATGAAACATTACAATTCATCCATTAGAAACTCTATCTCATCATAATATATAATATTATTCAGCTTGATTTTACAAAGTTACAGAAATAAACAAGTTACAAAATGTGACTTATCAACCTCTAAAGCTCATGAGAAAGAATCCTCTTTCAATGAAATTATAAGAGGTAAAAACTCACAGAACGAAGAATGCCCTGATTCACAAAAGGTTTGAACATAACTGCAAACAGAAGGATTGTGAGCGTTATAGTGAGCATTACAGATCTAAAGAGGTCGACAGCTATCAAAAACCAGTATGAATATATCCAATTGCTTCTTTTTCAACCAGATAAATTTGTTTGTTACCAAAGGAGAGAACCTGGTGCTGGAATGGAACAGGAAGAAACTGAGAGCACCAGGGAGAAGATAAAGTGAAGGCTAGGCTTCAGGTCCATCGCCTAACTGAGGAGAGAATCAGGAACTGGACCAGTCATACATCAGAGTTTGAAAAAAATTAAAATGAAAATAAGCAGCTGGTGTCACTGCAGCATGTCCATGAGGCTTAGAGCTTTATGTGTAGCATATTAATGGATGTAGTTATCCTGCAGCTTAGGACTATGTAGAGACAGGGTACAGTAGTGTTCTGAGTGAATGAGTGAATCTCACTGTCAAACCAATATTCATCCTGAATACTGACAAAAATGTTGTTTCATTATCACCCAGATAAATTGGAATCAAAGAGTGACAGACAAGACTGCAACTAAACAACTAGCTCCCCTTAAAGAAGAGATCATTCAGGCACAATTAAGGCATATTCCGCTAGGGGAAAGGTAGGCCAAATCATCGCAGAATTTCTTTGTGACAAACGAGACTGAAAGTAAAATGAAGATAAAGCAGTGTGTTATGTCAAATTTCAGATGGATAATTGAGCCAAGACCTGGATTGAGTACAGAGGTTTTAGAGGGCAAGTTAAAAAAAAAAGCTATAGAAGCAAAGACAGTGTATATAAAAGAAACTGGCAGCTAAAATAAAGGTGAATTCAGAAGTCTTCTCCAGGTATATAATTAGTAAAATGTGGTAAAAGGTGCAGCAGGGCCAATTAGGAACCATAAAGGGGATTTACAAATGATGGCAAGAAGTATGGCGAAGATATTAACTTTCACCTATCCTAATCAAGGAAGAGGATGCTGTGCAGATAATGCTAAAATGGGAAGTGTTATTGGATATGCAACCTGTAAAGTTGATAAGGCACCAGATCTCACTGAAATGCATCTAAGGATACTGAGAGACGTGACATCAGAAATTGCACAGACCATAATTTTCCAGTCTTCCCTAGATTCAGCAGGTGGTGCCAGAGGACTGGGAAATTGCAAATGTTACACCTTTCTTCAAACCGTGTATAAAGATAAATCAAGGGACTATAGGGCAGGCAGTTTAACTTTAGTGGTGAAGAAGCTCCTATCATTTGGTACAAAATTAATAGTAAATTTGGCAGTTATGGATGAATAAAAGAAAGCCAACATGGATTTGTTAGGGGTGAAATAATAGTTAACTAGCTTGCTTGTGATTTTGATGACATAAGAGAGAGGTTAGATGAAAGCATTACTGTTAATGTCTTTCAAAAAGCATTTGAATAAGTTCTGCACAACAGACCTCTGAGGAAAGTTAGAAATCATTGAATAAAAGAGACAGTAGCAACTCAAATAGGAAATTAGCTGAGTGACAGGAAACAGAAGGTTGTTTTATTGGACATTTTTAGAATCCAGGAAGATTTATGATTGAGTTGCTAGGGGTCCATTAGGACCCACGGCTCCTGATTTATGACCTCGTCCAGAACTTAGAACACAATTTCAAAATTTCAAAATGATAGAAAACTTGTGTGTCTTCTTAACCATGAGGAGGATAGTGTAGAACATCAAAAAGATACACACAGGTTGGGGAATGGGTACATAAATGCCAGATGAAATTTAATGCCAAGAAGTTTTAAGTAAGTAATTGTGGTCATATGAACATGAAGAGATAAGATAAGGTAAAGTCTACAAATCTAAAGAGGGTACAAAAGCAGAGCATCTTGATGGCTTATGTGCAGGAATCATAGAAGCAGGCAGGACAGGTTGAGAAAGTTAATAAAGCATTCAGAATCCTTGGTTTTATTAATAAGGCTATAGAGTTCAAACGTAAGGAAGCTATGTTAAACTTGCATAAACTGGAATATTGTGTTCAGTTCTGGGTGACACACTTTAGAAAGGATGTGAAGGCATTAGAGAGAGTGCAGAAAGCATTCACAATAATGGTTCCATAAACAACTGGAGAAATTTGGACTGTTCTTCTTGGGGAGGAAAGGTTTGAGAGAAGACTTGATGGAGGGATTCAAAACCATGAAGGGTTTGGACAGAATGAGAAAAAACTATTCGCAATGGAAAAAAAATCAAGAAGCAGAGGGCACTGATTTTTTTTAAAAAGTGGCAAAAGAAACAATGGTAACATGAGGAAGAATGTCTTCACAGAGCAAGTGGTTAGGTTCCGGAATACATTGCTTGAGAATGTGGTAGGGGAAAATCCAATCACAGCTTTCAAGAGAGAACTGGATTATTATCTGTAAAGGAAGGAAATACAGGATTATGGGGAGAAGGTGGAGACAGAGACACTAATGAACCACCCCTCTAGAGAACAACACAGATGCAATGGGGCAAATGTCCTCCTCTTGTGCTGTAAGTATTCCGTGATTCTGTAATCCTGTTTTAAAACCCAACAGAGTTCTGCAGAACAGGCTTAAATGTCATCAACAATCCAAATTGCAGAATGTGCAAATAAGGCATTAAAATTACATTGTGCATAAGTCTCTTCAGGATGATGAATTGGTCACCCAGCATTCTCTTCATTCTCGCCAAAAATGAAGTAAGGTGCCACTTCTGCATTGCGGCGAAGTCTGTTTAGGAAAGAGAGATATGGCATGTGACACTTTCTACTGGCTTTTTATGTATCATTCATAATGCAAAAAAAGACCTACATGTCCCGAAATAGAATCTAAATCTACTTAACTATTTTCCTTTTTTTTTACTTTAGGCTTATTCAGTTTGCATCAGGGATGCCATATGAAAATACTGAGGTAGAATTTCTTCTTTGAGTGCACTGAAAAATTGCTTCAAAATTGTATCTGTTTGGCTTCCACTGGCATTTATGGTGTATTCACAAACATAAAATCTTCCATGCACCAGTGCAATTGGGTGACATAACAAATACAATTGTTTATATTTTTCTACAAAAAGATACATCTTGATGTATTTAGGAATGGTAATCTGTTGCAGCTTGATTTATACAGCTGAGAATTGCTTTTCACCAAAAGGAACCACTTTTAGCAAGTGTCCAGTCCTCCAAATATGAATAACTTGATTTAACATCAAATGAAAACAATTATAAAAACTATACTGAATCATTTAATAATTAATTGATGTACATCGGTAATTTTCCCAAATACAATTCATCCCAGTAGTGCCTGCGTGTCGAAGAAAATGAGCATGATTTGAAAAGACTTCCCAAACCATCATAATCAATAGAATCTTCTAATTTCAACCTAGGGCATAGCCACTTTTGTAGATGGGGCCTGATCCAGTTGAATTGAACATTAAACCAATGTGAAAGGTCAGCAAATTACATGATTTTTATGCTGCTGTGATCGATTTAAATGTAATGTGGTGCAAAACTAATAGAACAAAGTGGAAACTCTACTCCAATATATTTGACAGATGAAAGCTAATGTAATTTATTTCAGCAACTTCACCTACAACATCAGATAGGCACTGGTACTTGAAATGAACATTACATTCTCCCTTAAAGCTCAGCAGGGAAGCATAATGTGAGTACTATTTTTAATCATAACTTTGACTAGAGTGAGAGGTGATGGTCTAGTGGTGTTATTGCTTGACTATTAATCCAGCAACCCAAGCAACGTTCTGGGGACCTAGGTTCAAATCCTGCCAATTGTCCAGAATGCTGGGCTGCTTGGTTTTGTGAAGCCGGAGGATATTGGTAGAGTATTAAATATTTCACGTCTATCTTTACTTTGGAGAGGGAGAGTTACTGCACACAACTCGAGAAGATGGACTGCAAAATTCTTGAGCAGATTAATACAATAAGTGAGGAGGATCGGAGATTTTGGTGGTTTTAAAAGTGGACAAATCCCCAGGTGTGGATGAGTTGCAATACAGGCTGCTATGGGAGATGAAGGACAAAAATACAGAGTCCCTGACCTAAATTTTCAAAATGTCTATGGCAGGAGAGATGCCAGAGGACTGGAGGACAGCTATTTTAGAAAAAGGGTAGTGAAGGCAGTGCAAGGAACTATTGACCTGTGATTCTAAAATCAGTGGTAGGGAAACTATTGGAGAAAATACTGAAGGAAAAAATTAAACTCCGTTTAGAGAGGCAAGTTTTGATCAGAGATAGTCAGCTTGGCTTTGTCAGAGGGAGGTCATGCCTAACAAATCTAGGTGGAATTTTTCAGAGGTGATCAAGTGTTTTGATGAGAGTGGTGTAGTGACTGTAATGAGGTCAGCCAGGTGGGCCTCACAAAATATGAGTTCCCTGACTGGGACTGTTAATCTGGTCCAGTCAGGGAGCTCTGGCTGACAATAAGAACAGGAGTGTCAGACATTTTGTTCACTCTGAGAGCTGGCTCTGACTGAGCTGGATCAGTGTCAAGGACTTTCCACATGTAAATAAAGGGTGACTTGGTGATGGGATATTGGCCTCTGTGGAGTTATTTCAGGTGGGGCATTTTATGTAGTTTATATGGATTTGAGCAAGACCTTTGACAAAATCCCACATGGGAAACTGATACAGATGCTAAATGATCATGGGATCCAGGGTAACGTGGAAGTTATATCCAAATTGTCTAATGACAGGCGACAGAGGATGGTGGTAGAAGGTTGTTTGTATGATTGGAGCCCAGTAGGCAGTGGTGTACCACAGAGATCAGTGCTGGGTCCCTTATTCTTTATAATATTCATAAAATATGTATACGAGAATGTGGGGGATGATTATAAGTAAGTCTGCAATGACACGAAGATTGGCCTGATGGTGGAAACTGAGAAATATGTTAGATTACGGGAGAACATAAGCAGGTTGGTCAGATGGGCAGCGCAGTGAAATTTAATAAATGTGAGGTGATGCATTTTGGAAGAAAGAACAAGACAAGGGAGTACTGAGCAAATAGTAGGATATGAGGAAGCTCAGAAAAATACAGGTCTCTTAGGGCGCTTGTCCACAGATCCCTGAAAGTGGCAGGACAGGTTAATAGGTTAATTAAGAAGGCATATGGCACAGTTGCCTTTATCAGTCGTGTCATAGATTATAAGAACAGGGAGGTTATGTCAGAACTGTACAGAACTTTGGTGAGGTCAAAGCTGGAGTACTGTGTGCAGTTCTGGTCACCACACCATAGGAAGGATGTAACTGCACTGGAGGGGGTGCAGAGGAGATTTACCAGGATGCTGCCTGGGATGGAACATTTCAGCGATGAGGAGAGACTGGATAAGCTCGGGTTGTTTTCTTTAGAGCAGAGAAGGTTGGGGCAGATGTGGTGGGCTGATAGGCACGTATAAGATTATGAGGGGCATGGACAGGATGAATAGAATAGAAAGCACCCTTAGTCAAACAGTCAATAACAAGAAAGCATAATTTTAAAATGAAAAGCAGGAGGTTTAGAGAGGATTTGAGGAAAAACCCTTTTGCCCAGAGGGTGGTGGTGTCTGGAATGCATTACCTGGAAGGGGAGTTGAGGCGGAAAACCTTACAACCTTTAAAAAGTACTTGGATGAGCACTTCAAATATCATAACATTGAAGGATATGGGCTAGTCAGAAAAGTGAGACTAGTGGAGGGAGTAGTCTCTTTTTGGTGATATAGACTCGATGATGCTATTCTAATATATTTTAGCGTTGACCCTCAGAAAAAAAACAGACTTCTTAATTCTCCCAAATATGATGCTATCATTTGGCAGGTAAGGATGCTCTGACACAGTAAAGTGTTTCATTGATGTTGGCTTGGACACTACAATAACTATCATTGACAAACATTTGGGTGAAAGTCAGCATGCTTCAGTGAACTGCTGAAAACATTCAGAAAACAATTGCACCATGAACGACAAAGCATTTATAAATATTTTAACATTTTTTGAATACACAAATCTGATAAATGCAAGCAATTAAATGCCAAATTGAGCTTCCACTACAAAAGAATGATATAACATAATTGATAGCATAAATGCATCACTAACTGGAAAATATGGAATGGGAATGCGTCATTTGCCTCTAAGTTAGCTGGAAAGTTAAATGTAGCTAGAAAAATGCACAATCTTATATCTGAAATTAAGTACATTCACAACTACACTACAGTGTGATGATGATCACTTGTGCAAACAACACTATCCCTGATTAAACTTCATCTCAAAAATAAAGATCAAATCTAGCTGGAATTAACTGAATTAATACATTAACCTCGCTATAATTAAACCAATTTGAACTCTTTATGGAGATACAAAAGAGATTTTTTTGTTACATCTGACCATATAGGACTTAGACAAAAAGATAAAGCTCCTGCCTTTCATTTTAATAATATGGCCCTTTGTTACTGACCCTTTGACCAAGGGGAACAGCTGCTCTCTATGCCTAGAATGAAGAAAAACATTTAAAATTAAGGTTTGCATTGGCTCATATACCTGGAGGGAAATGTTAAGCCCACAGCATTGTATATTTGGTTAGGTGGGATATTAGTATTTATCATAATAGTGGTAAAATATGAATTGTCAATCCTCAACTGATCTTAATGCCTAAGGCCTTTATGGATTAAGATTGTCTCTGAAAAAAGAAGAAACACAGACCTAAAATGGCTGCAATAATCACCTGACCACAGACGGACGCAAGTTCAGAAAATCAAGGTGGAATAAATGAAATCAACTGGACTACTTTAGCTAAAGAGACTGAAAATAGTCAACTGAGTCAGGAATCAAGAAACTCACATCTCCTGTTTTAATTTACACATATGAGAAGTTGCACATTTTGCACATGAAAAGGTTTCTTGCAACTATCCACCTTGGAAAAACAATGCGGCCAGACTCAGGAATATAGGAAACAAACTGTATTACAGTAGCTGTTTAGTAGAGCAGCAGAGAGAGAGAAATTCTGACCACATTTTACCACCATCATTCCCACAACTGCAGATCACATGGTGGATATCCTAGAATTCACATCCTTTGTGCCCCAGCCATCATTAAAATCTCACTGCATATCCTCAAACACTGTCAGTACAGAGCTGCCCTGAACAGTTCCTGATACTTGTCCCAAACATGGTTGACATGGGGAAATTGGCACCTTGCTTTGTGGGCAGGATGTGACTTCCTCTTACCCCAGGTCCAGCTCTAGAAACCATGACAACAGACCTTGCCAGCCTAGTCTGAGGCTGCCACCGGATTAAAATAGCCATAACCGTCTGGAGGAATGCCAAGTACTAGAGGAAAAAGGGCAATGACCTTCTCCACTCCACCTGCAAAAGTGCCACTATCTTCTCTCTGATACCTCACATTCTACTTCTGTTACTGCACCCACCTCCCACCAGAGCTCATGCACTACCACTCTCAATATTGCCTGCAACACCTTCCCTCACTCAAACACACCCATCCTAAATCCCCAACACCACTAACTCTGTGTGCCCTCTGTGCTGCCTACTCACTTACTCAGGACGCCTCCCCACTTGCACTAAACATAATAGCTGTACCGGCCACTTTCATCTTCTGTAATTCGGGTCCCTCTCTCATTCCAGGAGGAGACGAGCCCAAATTCGGGAACTGTGGTGGGCTGCATGATGTTCTGCACCTCAGCCCTTGTGTGGACAGCATCCTGAGTCTAACCATCACGTTGACCATTTCCTAACT